CTGATCCCGGTGCTGGGAGCCTTGCTGCTCCGCTGATCCCGGTGCTGGGAGGCCTATTACCCTTTTACTATATAGGATAGAGGCCTGGTGCATGGGTAGGGGCTGGCTGGTTTGCCCTGAAGGGTGTCCTGGATCAGGGTGGGGGTCCCCACTGGGGTGCCTGGCCAGTCTGGGTGAGGGGCTGAGGGCTGTTTTCAGGCTGGTGGGTTGACTGAAGCTCCCAACCGCTCCTTTTTTTCTTTTTTTCTTTTTATTCTGGGCCAGCTTTAGCTCTGAGGCCTCGCTGCTGAAAGCAGGTTTCTGGCCTTTACCTTCTGTATTTGATACAATGTTGCAGTCCGGCTGGCTGAAGCCTGGCTGACTAACGCAGGTTTCTGGGGTTTTGTTTAGCTTCTTATTTGCAACATAGTACATAGTTGCTTAGAGTTGCAGCTGAGAGGCCGGCAAGTTAGGCGGGGAACGTTGGAGTCCGCAGTCACTGAAGCAAGCAAGCCTCCCTGCTCGCTTCAGTGCATGGCTGCCGGCCGCCATCTTGGCTGACAGTTAATTTGCATAAGGATATGCTGATTAGCCAATGGGAAGGGTAGCGGTCGTACGCTAATTACCATGTTTCTCTTTTATTAGTGTAGATAGATAGATAGATAGATAGATATATTACATAAAGTCTTGCAACTCACAGTAAGAAGTAATCCAAATTTTAAATGGCAAAATATTTGGACACATTACAAAAAAAGATACATGAATAACCAATAAGCACAAAAATATGCTCAACATCACTGGGCATGAGGGAAAGGCAAATGAAACTACAATGAAATGCCACTATACACCCACTAGAATTGCTAAAATTAAAAAGGCTGATACCAAGTGTTAGTGATAACTAGAATTATCATACATTGCCAATGAGAAAGTATAATGGTACAAACACTTAGGAAAATATTTTGGCAGGTTCTTATAAAGTTAAACATACACCTGCTTACAACCCAGCAATTCCACTTAAGTATCTTACACAACAGAAATGAAAACATTTTGATATAAAGACTTATACATGAAGGTTCATAGCAGCTGTATACCTAATAGTCTCTCCGCCCCCCAGGAAATAATCCAAATATCTATCAACTGGTGTATGGATAAACAAATTTTAGTATATCAATATAATGGAATATTGGTCTTCCATAAAAAACAATTAGCTACTGAAACAATCAGAAACATGAATGAATCTCAAAAACATTCTTCTGATGTTTACATTAAATTTTAGAATAGGCAAAATTAATCTATAATGACAAAAGCAGATCAGAAGTTGTCTGGGGTCAAGGGAAATGGACGTTGGTAACTGACTACAAAAGGGATACAAGGGAACTTTTGGGGTGATAAAACTTCTATATCTTCATTGTAGTGGTCATTATACAGGTGCATATATTTGTCAAGACTCACAAAACTATATTGTTTATATTAACTGGGTATGGTAAGACACAGACACGGATATGATTGTCATGAAGGAAGGAGTTTATATTCACAGTTCCCTAGAAACAGGAGGCAAGCCACAATACACCATGCCACAAGAAGTACCAGAGTGGGTCAGGAGTTAGAGGAGAGGAGAGAAAAATGTATCAATAAAGTGTGGTTTTCGCAGGAAAGAATGGGCAAGGCAGAGTAAGGGTAAGCAAGTTAAGCAGGTTTAGGATTGGCTAGTTTGAAATCATTTCAGTGGTCTCCACAGTATAGGAACAACCCCCTTGGCTGGTAGTTGGCCC